AAGTCGCTGTTCTAACCGGTTAGAACCAGTCCCACCATGCATATACCGTTCGTCCCACCAATGATTAATGTTATTAACAGTTTCTGTCGGCAGTTAGCTGCTTTTGTTAGCAGTAATTAGATTTACCACCGTTTTGCCAAAAAATTGTATGTTTAGTAATTTTGATAAACAGCCAAAGTACGTACGGCGACCGAGAAGCGTCTTCGATTGCTGTATCACTGCCCTCTGCTTCCATATCGACAGGCTGAGTGGTACTGTCAACACTGGTGAATGCCGCATTCTCGTTCACAACCATAAGACGGTTTGTGCTGCCCTTTTTGGGACCGAGAGTCATTACCGATGGCTCATTTCTGTCCACGGATTCAGCGCCCTCATCTGACGATGCCGGTGGGGATTGTATTTTCCTTTCTGTTTCTGCCACATCACCTAAAAGAAAAGAATATAAAATGGAATAAACAGTGACACAGAAGTCCTACCTCTAACATGAGAAATACTGCCCTATTTTAACTTTCTCTATCTTTAACTTACTTCAAGTGATCGACATGAACTGAACGTTGGAAAGCTACAGAAATATTCGCACATAGACGGTTGGAAGAGGATAAGTTATGAAACGTTTGACATATATATTCATTTGTATACATCTATTCGGCTGCAGTCATCACGTTGCCTTGACCTCGTTCACTCAGCCCATCGGCAGCTCTGGAACACGTGTTGTGTCAAATGTCAGTCATGGGACTCACATGAGAAACATAATATAACAGGTTCGAATCTCGGTTGGGTTACTCACTTTTCGACTTTCTGAGGTAGATGAAATCTAAATAAGAGTTACACCCTGTGCTGATTATTAAATTACATGCAGCTGCCAGGTGGATCAAGGTGAAATGCAGCCACAAGGAGCGTTCATACTGACAGCATCAACGTACACCTAATCGATTCTCGCATGATCATACCATGCTGTCTGTTATTCTCAAATTAACGACTCATTACCCGTTTCTCGTCTGGTTGCCCGAAGCAATGATGGATCCATTCCCTGCCCAAGGAAATTCGCAGGTAAGATCGTTGTCCCTTTAACGGATTCGAACCCTATACCTGAAGTTCAAAGCCAAAGTCTTTGCCGTTATGCCAGTACGCCCCAAAGTACCATGATGAAGGAAAAAAGTCTGTTCGCTATTGTCAGCCCAGCTGTAAATGTTGCCCACAAAATATGGCACCCCTGGCATATCGCATCGTGACGTCGGAGTAGCGTTGCACAAAAAGCTTTGTGGAAATTAAAACGCTGCCAACACTCACTAAAATGCACGGCAAGACCCGTTTCTCAATGGTTATAAACTTTCTTCTTCAGTTTGCGAAGTAGTCGACGAACACAAAAGCTAGAATTAACCTTGAGGAAGAACGAAAAATGCTTAAATCAAAACCTGTTTCGGAACCCCTACCCAGTAACTATATCTCAGATCTCGAAATCATAACATAATCAAAGAACGTAACATGAAGATCTCTCGTAATCTTTTAAACCAAATACTTAATAAACTTAAAACTGTTTATGATACACCTGGGAAAATTTACTGACTCCTACAAGATTCTTAAATATTTTCTATAACCGTGTATGATTATTTTAATAAAGTATAAAACTCAAGTCATCATTAAGTAGCATCCTGATAACCACCTGAGACTACCAATTATTGTTAATGCCATGTTCCTTCGTGACCCAGCCGTACTACATAAACAAGGTGCTTTAGAAAATGAGAGTATTTTCCAACTTCTTTCAACATTTAGACGGTGTACGATGTACAATTATTCCCCTTGTGGATGAAAATACCGAAATGCAGCAGGGCACAATGTACTAACAAATCACAGTTTAAGAGACTTATGAAGACGAGCAACATTCATCCCATTTCAGTGATGATAACTACCCTTAAGAAGTGACTAAGTGATTAGATGCCAACGGGTGTCGCTTCAATAATGATCTGCGAAATATAACATATCGTGATAAACCTTCAGATTACGTCATGAAACGCTAAATTGTGCTTTACTGTGTGTAAACGGTATGAAATAACATACACATGAACAAAATGACAGAGGACGTAAACATACTAAAGATCCGCAGCTCACGAATAAAGTATGTGAAAAAATTACCAGCTGTGGAACATACAGTTCAAGAACAAAGTATGTCGTGGAACCAATGGCTGAAACACAAATCAAGAGAAATCCCTATAGTAAAAAAGAAGAGATTGAAGCCCCTTTCATTCCATTTAATCAATGCATACCTACGGAGACTGACGTGGGACAAAGTTCTCACTGAAACCAAGCACTGAAACAGCTTACACTGTTGAAAAAGCCAGGTAAAAGGTTCACAGCGTAGTTGCTACATGACTGCATTTTACACTGTCGTACTTATTTGCTGTGCTTTATTCTCCAGGGAGCAGGAGGGGGACCAAGTATAGTCGAAAACGTTGGAGACTTTGAATATAACGAATTCGTTATATGGTGCCATTCGGTAACAAATTTCTGCAATTCTGAATTGTATCCATACACAAAACACATGAAAGATTTAATTGAAATGGCCTTTGACACGTTTCACTGGACTCACGCGTCCCAACACAGTTCATGGTCTAGAGTTTAGACACATTAGGGAGCTTCAGTGTAAGGAGCTGTTTCTCCAGACTGAGAAGTCACAGACGATACGGGTTTGACACGTGTTGCGAATGCCTCCTGGAAGGAAGACGAGGCAGCTACTATTCTGCCAACCGAAAAGCCGAAGTCCTCAGAAATGGTCAGAAAAACCTGGAAAAAGTGTCCTGAAGGACTCTGTTCCAGACCTGCGTTATCTTCTGCCAAAACTCAAATTCTGGCAAAGGATCTGGAACATTGGAGAAATTGCGTGACGCTGCAGCCCCCACGAACTGAAAAGATAAGCGACCATTGAAATTAAATGTCATACATGCTATGTGAGGAGGTAACTCTGATTGTCTTGCTGTATTCCATAAAGTGCTTAACATAATAATTGAAATGAAGCAACTGGCTATTGTATGTCTATATTTTTTAGCATTTGGTTAATCATGTCATTGAAACATCACATGCTGCTATCAGAGAATAAACAAGAAGTGCCTGAAATCGCACTGATCTGCCTGCCGTGTTGTATAAGTTAAGTCTCATAGCTACCGTCACTAAAGCAGAGCTTAAGTATCTACACACAAGCGCCGTACCACAAAACGTCACCAAAGGCAACTCGAAATTGCATTTCTCAACTAAAGCACGTCACAGAAGAAATGAAATCTTACCTCTGTCCCGTGAATCATGTGACGTTGACTCTCGAGCCTCGTGCATCGCCTTCATAAAGATGGTAGCTTTAGGCTGCATTTCAGCAGGAACGTTGTATTTGCGCTCTGATACCCGTACAACGGAAGCCACGTTGCCTATCTGAGGCTTCAGGGGGTCGTATTCCTCGTCCAGCTCGTCTTTATGAATAACCTGTCCGATGATGCTTCGTCTTTTAAGACTGTAATTCTGCAATATTTTTCATTAAAAATAATTAATTCAGTTAACTCAGAAAAGCAATAAATGAATGATCTTGCAGCCGAATCAAAGAAGAAAAGGTAAAAAAAGTCAGACGAATAAGGAGGAAGAAAGAAGTGAAAGGTGAGTCAGAATGATTAGAACGAGAAGGGGAAGAAAGAGACAAGGAAAGAGAAAAAAGAGAAGAAGGAGAGAAAATGGAGAAGAACAAAAACTAAAATAGCGGATAAAAAACATGACGAAAACTAACAAGCGAAATAGCAGAAAGGAAAGAAAAAACAATGAAGATGATAAGAAGACGAAAGAGAATGCAAAATAAAGAAACGCTAGCGAAAAAATGAAACGGGAAAGGAAAGCTGA